CATGCTGGTCTCATATCGAGAATGAAGAGTTTAATAATGTTACAAAAATTCTTGTAAGACAAAGGAAAAAATTGGAAGTGATGTCATGTATTTGCATAGAATTCTCAGACGAAAACTGTACTGATCAAACGAAAATTGTAAGATCTGGTATTGTACGAGAAAAAAGTTTCTGCTTGTCCCTTCAAATAATTTCAGACAAAAGCCGTGCAATGACAAAACATTGATTATCGTACGATCGCTTTAAAAAGCGGTGTTTTTCGTACGATTTTCTGATCGTGTGTAGTAGACTTTAGTCATCCGCTATCTCCATTACATGGTGGTGAGAGGGATTTGTAGATTACAGATGATAGCTTTAAAGGCTGTAAGATTGTGCTTCAAGATCATCACAATAGGACGCTGCCTTTCAACATGTAATTTTGTACCTGCTAAAAACGTTCTTCGCGTGGGAGGACAGCCACCACATCTAAGGAGAAGCAATATTCCATTTTTGATTGGGTAGGTTAAAAAAAAAAAAAAAAAAGGATCTTTTTCACACTGTAGTTGTATCCAACAATTTCAGCATTAAACAGAGGCACACCACCCACCAGCAGGCTGCAGTGGCATCTGCAGACTGAAGGTTTAATTTGTCAGCCTTTAGCCTGCATATGAGCCCTATGCCATAGTTGATGTAAGGGTCACATGATAGGGAGCCACTGGAGATAAAAAAGCTTGGGGGACAGTGAGGATTAAAGCTGAATTCCAGGAATTCAGCTACTTTGTAAAAACTGCAGGCATACCGAGTCACGTCTAACAAGGTGCATGGAGACTTATCTCTATTATTCACAGCTGACAGGTTTATTGTGTTCCAGGAAGATATTCCACTGCTCATGGTAGACCCTAGTTCTTTCTATAGTACTGGAATGGTTATGCCCACCCCGCCCCTCCTGCCTATTCACAGAAGCCTTTGTATTTTGTGAATGTGTTCACATAATACAAAGGCTTCTGTGAATCAGCAGCAGAGGGGAGGGGCGTGCATATCTGCTCTGCAGGCTTTTCTCCTCTCACAGCCTGGAATGTCCTGTGTCACCTCCCGGAGTGCAATAAACCTGTCACATATAAGTAATAGAGATCGGTGCGGAAGGCGACATGCACCTAATTGGACTTAAAGCGAAGTTCCACCCAAAAGGGGAAATTCCGCTTTAAGGATTGCTCCCCCGCTCCCCATTAAAGGATTGGCACCTTTGGGGAGCGGGTACCTAAATTTGACAAGTACCTGCTCCCACTTCCAGTCCGATTGCCCAGGCGATCGGAAACGGAAGGTGTCCTCCCTCCCTCTCTGTAGTCTTTTGGGACACGTGACCGTTCCCAGAAGACTACAGGATCATTCATGAAGCGCAACGCTACTTGCGCATGTACAGTGGGTACCCGGCTGTGAAGCCGCAAGCTATCACAGCCGGGTGCCCACACTGAAGATGCTGGCCTCCTGGAATACAGGAAGGCCGGTGAAACGGGCTGCGGGATGGTGGGTCAGGTAAGTGGCGGTTTCTTAAAAGTCAGCAGCTACAGTTTTTATAGCTGCTGACTTATTTTTTGATAGGTCGAGTGGAACTCCGCTTTAACTCACAGTGTGTCTGTGCTTTTTGCAAAGTTGATGAATTCTTGGTATTCCGCTTTAAAAAAAAGTGAACAGGTTGATTAGTCCTAAAATATGCAAAGCACAGGTTCAGTTTGATTGCTTAAAATCTAACCAGATCTGCAGATACAGGCCTTTCAGAGACACCGGCACATCAATACACAATAAAAACCAGACAACATCTATACAAAAAAAACACTTTATATAAAATAAAAAAAAAGAACAAATTAACAGAGAAGAACATTAGAAACCGCAATAACCGGCGGCAAGAACAAAGGGGGGATGGAGAGACATTTCCATCACGTGCCTGTAACATGCGACACAAGAGTCCGGCACCTGCAATACTGCGCTTCTCTCCGAACCCCCCCACACCCCACCTACCCCCCAAGAAATAGCTGCACAGAGATGCTTGTCAAGCCTAACCCCCGTCACACATTCAGAGGCCCTCTTTATATTATTAGGCCCTCCAAGGGGGGGGGGGGGGGCCCAACATGCCAAAAACTAATAAACCCAGAATGAGACAGAAGCACGTTGTTCTGTAGATCCCAAATCCACTGTTCTATAAACATCAGGCATGACAGTGAAATCCTCATCAAATACCTATATAAAGCTCTATATATATTTATATTTTACCTTTTATGCTTGTCAAGTTTTTGAAGTATCCAAAAAAAATTTTTTTTTTTTTTTTTAAAGTAACACATTCTTGGTGCATCTCCTAAAACTGCCCGAAAACCTCAACCTGTTAACTTCTAGTCACCAGCCCATTACCTCCCACAGCCTGTGCAAAGCTGAGCTTGGCTCCGACGACCACAGACTGGCTTTAGGGTATCAGTTCCCCCCCAATGGGTAGTCCCCATTAGAAAAAGGGCCCTATTTGGATGAGGGCTCAGACATCACACAGCCCTTCAGAGATTTGCAGCCTTCAGAACTTCTAAACAAACTTCCTGATGCAAGAGAGAAGAGATGTTCCAATGCTCACAAAGGAAAAAAAAATATATATATATATGAATAGGTCACTGACTAAAGCGCCCATCTCAAAGCCCTTCTCTGACCTCACAATACAAAGTAGTAACATTGAACACAAGTCCAAGTGAATTCACTGGCCTAAAACTACTATGTAGCCCAAAGACTTAGAGAATGGCAGCTTCTAGCAGAAACTTCTAGAAACAGGCAGGTCTTCCACCTGAATGAACAGATTTGGGTGCATTATAAGGACCGTGATTATGTTTCATGGATACTTCAGGGGTCTGTACAGCCAAATCAGAAGATGGAGGAAACTTGCATTTTAAAACCTTGAGGAGGCTTCAGTTGTCTGGATTCAGTAGGTCACACCTTCACCCCCCTCCCCATAACTGGTTTAATTTCTGGACTCCAAAATTATTTGTTTACTCCATCAAAAGGAGAGTGACACCATCACTTGGCTTTGTAACAGCCATGGGGAAAACTGAACTCTGGTGGAAGAGATCTTGTCCCTGGGTTCCCCAGAGATATGGGGCTCCAGTTACCTTGATTGCTTCAGCAGATCGCGCCTCACTCCTCCCATTAATGGGGTCCCAAATTATTGCTTACTCTATCAGAGCAGCATGACGCAATCACTTCTTTGTAATGGCCATGAGAAGAACTGTGAACTCTGGTGGAGGAGGAGGAGGAGATCTCATCTTTGGTTTCCCCAGAAGCATACAACTCCAGTTACTTAGATTGCTTCAGTAGCTCATGCCTTGGTCCTCCCATTAATGATGGAGTTACCGCTGGACTCCCAAATTATTTGTTTACTCCATCAGAGCAGCAGGACGCAATCACTTGGCTTTTTAATGGCCACAGGAGCAACTGTGAGATCAGGTGGTGGAAATCTTGTCCCCAATATCCCCAAAAGGCTACAGCTCCAGTTAACTAGATTGCTTCAGCAGCTCATGCTTTGCTCCTCCCATGAATGGAGTCACCGGTGGACTCACAAATTATTTGCTTACTCCATCAGAGCAGCATGACGCAATCACTTCTTTGTAATGGCCATGAGAAGAACTGTGAACTCTGGTGGAGGAGATCTCATCTTTGGTTTCCCCAGAAGCATACAACTCCAGTTACGTAGATTGCTTCAGTAGCTCATGCCTTGGTCCTCCAATTAATGATGGAGTTGAGTAACCGCTGGACTCCCAAATTATTTGTTTACTTCATCAGAGGAGCATGACACAATCACTTGGCTTTGGAACGGCCACGAGAAGAACTGAACTCTTTTGGGGACCTCATCCCTGGTTTTCATAGAGAGAAAGGAGGCCAACTTAACCAGCAACCGCATGAATCTGAAACATCAGCTTTAAGCAAGTTATGACATTTAAAAGGAGAATGTCCACTTTTTTTTTTTTTTTTTTGGTGGACTTCTTGGAAAATGGAATGATGTGTTCGTAAGAAGAATTCCCTCACTGTGAACATGCTGCGTATACAGCTTTCCCACGGCAAGGCCAACCTTAACCATGGCTTTCTTGGTCAAAAGGCATCGCGAACCTAGGTAGACTATTCATACTCTTTAGGAAGTTGAAGATTTCACTGTCCTGTCTTCAAAACAAATACGAAATGGGTGGAGTAAAACTTTAATAACACCAGTGAGATAAGAAGTTACTCGGTATCGATGTGCCCGGCGCCGTGACGCGCCAGGCACAGATCGCCCTTACCCTGAGAAGAAGGCTAGAGGCGCTTTTGCCTCTCGAACCCTCCGAAGCGCCTTTAGCGGGACGGGATTCAGTGAGCTAATAAGCTGAACCCTTAAGAACCCTGCAGTTATGTACCCCAAATTTTCCCAGAGGCCCGCCGTTCCCCCCAAAAACTATGTTGGCATCAAGTACATCCAAACCCCTTAAATCCATCCTGCAGAGTTTTACCCCCCCCCCCCTCCCCGCCCCCGGAATAAAAAAAAAATAAAAAAAATAAAAGAGAACACGACCCAGACCCTTTAATAACAGTAAACCGTCGCCCCTCTCCTTGGCGTGCGCTAGCGCTGCCGTGCATGCATTGTGTCATGTCAGGAGAATGCATCAGGGTAAAGAAAGGGCGAACATGGATTTAAACAAGCCCACGAAGGGCTGCAAAGAGGTATTGAGCCCACCTGTGTCCCCCCCCACACTTTAATATATTTCGAGGTGTCCACACCCCAAACGGTCAAGTCCAGGTAAAAGAAGTTCCTTCCCCCCCAACGAAGAACCGCTTCAATCCCAGACGCAGCGACAGCTTCCAGCTACCGCTGGCTGGCACATTTGCAGCGTCAAGTCAAGGAGTTCAGTGCAACCTCACTTTCCAGGCCCAGCAGCAGTATCTGGGCAGGTAGAAGAGGCAGATACAGTAGAATAGCCCCTTTCTGGGGCAGGAGTGCCGTGTCGAGAGGCCTTTCCCTGCACTGCTAGGTCTCCCGGCTCAGGACTTGCTCCTCGGCGCATTGGAAGGGTTTCACGTTGGGCTCGGAGGGAGGATCCTGCAGCAACCGCTGAAAGCCCTCACTGGTGAGGAGGCGACAGGAACGCAGGTCCACCAGCTGCAGGTGGGGGCAGCGCTTGAAGAAGGCCAGAGATTGGTCAGTCAGTCGGTGACACCCTGAAAGGAGGAGTTAAAAAAGTTACTGTAATGTGAACATTTGAAACACAACCAGGGAAGACGGCTTACCATTGATGACTTGTTATTGGAGGTGGAGGAACCCAGGGCTGCCAGCTTTACTTCACCCCCACAGCCTACAGCTACAAAATCAAGTATGCAAAATGGTACCGAATACATTTCTATTTTTTGTATGCAAAAAAAAAGAAGAAAAAAAAAAAAAAAAAAGAAGAAAAAGAAAAAAAAAAAAAAAGAAGAAAAAAAAAAAAAAAAAAAAAAAAAGAAAAAGAAAAAAAAGTGTACACACAACTGTTGCTTGACATAAAATTGCTGGCTATGGGGGGGCACACTTACAGGTAGTATGGCTTGGTAGTAAACTTGCATCTATAGAAACAGAAAGCGGGGGCTTGGTCCCGCCCCCCCTCCCCAATATTGTTTTTTTTTTTTTTTTCTCAATATTTTCTTTTTTTTTTTTTATAGTGCAAAAAATTACAAAAAACGCACAGGCAATCAAACACCACCAAAAGAAAGCTCAGTTCGTGGGAAAAAAAAAAAAAAAACCACGATGTAAAATTTCATTTGGGTGCAGCGTTGCATGACTGCGCAATTGGCAGTTAAACGCAGCGCCGTAATGCAAAAAATGCCCTCAGGAAGGGGGGTAAATCCTCAGGAGGAAATACAAAGGGCGAGCGTTTTTGGACAATGAACGTTTGTGGCTTGCATAGTCTGCTTCCAGGGTGGAGTTCAGCTTAAAAAAAAAAAAAAAAAAAAAAAAAGAAGGTTCATAAAAATGATTGCAAATACACTGCTAATATTACAGAGAGGCGGGCTTGATGATGTCACAAACTCCATCTCAGCCAATCAGAGGAAGCTCTGCGTTCATTCACAGAATACAAAGCTTCCTCCGAATCACTGAGCACGCTCAGCCCAACTTGATTTTGTTCCAGGAGAAGGCGCTGTAACTGCTAGCGAGGTAAATGGTTTGGACCAGCGTGTCCACATGGACTAGTCAACCACTTCCTGGCAGGCCGTTTTATATAAACGGCCGGACGGTGGTAGTGCAGAGGCGGGTGGCCGTTTATAAATGACCTCCCCGCCCCCTGCTTGTGCACGCTCCCTGGGAGCACGCAACACCGCAATCCAGTGCCCGCTGTTGTACGCAGTGGAACACCGATCATTGTACGGGGCCTCTGTGTGAGGTCCCGATCATGTGATCATTGATTGGCCAATCAGCGATCACATGAATAGTAGTAAGCAAAATGTCACTTCTGACATCATTGCTTACTACGTGTTAAATCTGTGAATGATCACAGAGATCACATGGTACAGGGCTATTCACAACAGCCTTATACCATGTGACAAGCTGTGACCAATCACAGCTCACACAGTATTTCTCAATGGCTGCAAGAATGCAGCCAGAGAGAAGGAGAAATGATTGCTTTCACAGCCTTTATGGGTGTAAAAGCAATCAATGTAAAAAAAAAAAAAAAAAAAAAAAACCCCACAAATCTTCATAACCCCCCACAAGCAGCACAGTGTCACTATAGTGACACTGTACTGCTAGGGTGACAGTATGTAAAAAAAATAAAATAAAATATAAAAATAAACAACTAAAAATGTAAAAAAATGTTTAAATATTATAATTTTTGGTTATAAACTAACGTGGGGTTTTTTTTTTTTTTTTTACCAAAAAGAACGGAATAAATTTTGGCCAACATTTATGATGAAATATTAGCAAAATTTATAAGAAAAACACTTTCAAAATTTTTGGACATTTTAATTTATATAGCAAAAAAAATAAAAATCCCACCAAAATAAAGCTTTATCTGTATCAAAAAAATGATAAGAAATTCATATGGGTACAGTGTTGCATGACCGCGCAATTGTCATTCAAAGTGTGATGGCGCTGAAAGCTGGTCTGGACAGGAAGGGGGTGAAAGTGTCCGGACTTGAAGGGGTTAAAGGTCCACGAAAGCTGGAGATCAGCTATAAAATGGATGGAACTTCACGGGTAACATTGAATTCAGAAAAAGGTTATGACAACCCCCATTCCTGTATACAGATATAACCCTCCACCCTCCATGTAGTTATGACAACCCTCCATGTAGTTATGACAACCCTCCATGTAGTTATGACAACCCTCCATGTAGTTATGAAACCCTCCATGTAGTTATGACAACCCTCCATGTAGTTATGACAACCCTCCATGTAGTTTGACAACCCTCCATGTAGTTATGACAACCCTCCATGTAGTTATGACAACCCTCCATGTAGTTATAACCCTCCATGTAGTTATGACAACCCTCCATGTAGTTATGACAACCCTCCATGTAGTTACAACCCTCCATGTAGTTATGACAACCCTCCATAGTAGTTATGACAACCCTCCATGTAGTTATGTACAGAGAGGCGTCATTACCTGTGAGGTTGAGGTGAGTGAGGCTGTCCCTCAGCGGAGAGGTGACTGCGGTCAGTATGTGGATCCCGTGGTCACTGATCTGGACACAGTGACTTAGATCCAGGCGGGTGAGACGAGGAGTGTGGCGAAGCAGCAAACGCAAGGCAGCGTCCCCCATATCTAAACCGCACAGGCGCAGTTCGGAGAGGGAGGGCAACCGGCCCCGGGGGTCCGACACAACTGTGAGAGAAAACAAAAGCAGAAAGGATTAGAAATACAAGCCTGGTGGGAGCACAGGGGCCCCTGCATGGAAATCTCTGACTGGGAATGTGCTAGGGCACGGGTGTCAAACTGGCGGCCCTCCCAGCTGTTGCCAAACTACAAGTCCCATAAGGCATTGCAAGATTGACAGTTACAAGCATGACTCCTAAAAGGTAGAGGCATGATGGGACTTGTAGTTTGGCAACAGTTGGAGGGCCGCCAGTTTGACACCCCTGTGCTATGGTATGAACTTTGGAAATGCATTTGAAGAGGAGATCTCTATGAAAGCCTTAGCTGTGATGACCAGTTTGGGAAAGTTCATGCCATAGATCAGGGGTGTCAAACTGGTGGCCCTCCAGCTGTTGCCAAACTACAAGTCCCATCATGCCTCTACCTTTAGGAGCCATGCTTGTAACTGTCAATCTTGCAATGCCTCATGGAACTTGTAGTTTGGCAACAGCAGGAGGGGCACCCCTGATCTATGGCATGAACTTTCCCAAACTGGTCATCACAGCGAAGGCTTTCATAGAGATCTGCACTTCACATGCATTTTTAAAGTGGCTGTAAACCTCATACATAAAATATGAACAAAGCATATCCCTCTATAGTGTGTACTTGTCCCAATCCACAGCACTAAGTGTAATTTCTGTCCACTGCCTCCTTCCTCTGCTATTAGCATGAGTCACTTCTGACAAACGTTCCTGACACCAAGAGAAAAATGGAGACAGGGGAGGAACCTCCAACAGATTGACAGTCTTAGCTCTGTTCCTGTATTGCTTTGTGAAGGGGGAGTGTGTCCCTTCCCTCCAATCAGCTCTCAGAGCTCTTCACACTGATGTAGCTTCAGCTCCCTGCCTCTGCTTTTCATAGCCGAGAAAAAAAGCTGTGTAAATTCTGTACTTTGAATGAATGTAGGGGAAAGATGGCTAGAGATAAACAGTACAACTTATGTAGGTGGATTTGTTTCATCTTTGTATCACCTGAGGATAGTCACTTCACTGGGTATACGGAAGGGTTTAAATGACCTAAAGTAGACCTAGCATCAGATATATGTTCATGTTAAATGAGATATCTGTAGTGCAGGACCTAAGGCACGGCTCTGACCACTGGTCTCTCACCAGACCTGGAGTGAGATTTGGTGATGTTACAAGTGTTCTCTTTGCTGGATGCTCTGACATGAGGAAGTAAAGTTCTGCCTCAACCAAGATGGCCGCCTCCACGCAGACAGTGCAGAACAAGGCATGGTATACCAGTAATGAATGGGGCAGAGATAGGCTGCAGGGGAGAGCACAGCAGTACTGGTGGTCAGTTCTTCCCCCTCTGCCTGTCCTTGGGCACAGATCATCGCCTGGTGAATGACAGCTAGGTTGCGGCAGCTGAAATGGTGCCGTTTTGGAAGTCAAGTTGCCAGAATATAAATAGGATGTTCATGTATTCACTTGACTCCTGATCACAACAGGGGACCGTGCGCATGTATAAAACCCATGCAATTAGTAAAGGATACGTTCACCTTTTTGGAATCATGTTACATCCGGTCTTTAGGGTAGAATATGTAACATGTTACAGCTCCTGCTGCCGCTGGCTCCATTCCCCCTCTCATTGTGACAGCGGGTGAAGGATCGTCTCCCTGAACCTGCTGTCATAATTCAAAAAAAAACAGCACGCCCACATCATTCATGGACAGAATCCTGTGAATGAATGAACTACAAACTACCTTCAGCCATTGCGGATGACAGCCTGTAGTTCTGAATGGGCTGCGAGGGCGCTGATAAGCACTCTTGGTTCATTCACAATCTCTGCAGATTGTAAACAGTCAGCCAGTACATAGATATGGCCTCAAAAGCAGAGCTTGTCTGCAGAAGCCTGAGACTGCACCCCCTGAACCACTCATCATGGATTGCAAGCTCCTTGGGTAAAAATTAATAAATACATGTTTTTCCTGCAAAAATATGTGCATTTATGATTTTTTCCCCAAAAGGTAAATAGCCTTTAACCACCGGACACAGCGGGCACCGGATCACGGTATTGTGAACTCCCAGGGAGAAAACACAGGCAGTGAATGCGGAGGATGTTTATAAACAGCCCCCCCGCTCCTGCACTGCTCCTGTCTGACCGTTGTTATGGTACATGGGCCGGATGGCAGCAGTGCAGGAGCGAGTGGCCGTTTATAAATATCCTCCGCATTCACTGCCTGCGTTTGCTCCCTGGGAGTGCACAGCACCACAATCCGGTGCCCGGAGGACACAGCAGAACACCGATCGCTGTACGAGACCTATGTGCGAGGTCCCAATCATGTGATCACTGATTGGCCAATCAGTGATCACATGAACAGTAGTAAACAAGATGCCATTTCCTTACATCATTGCTTGCTACTTGTGAAATCTGTGAATGATCACCGAGGTCACATGGTACAGGGCTATTCACAACAGCTTTGTACCATGTGACAAGCTGTAACCAATCACAGCTCACACAATATTTCTCAATGGCTGCAAGCATAATAATTTCTTTTACAGCCTTTATGGGTGTAAAAGCAATCAATGTAAAAAACTGAAAAGAAAAATCATCACCCCCCACAAGCAGTACAGTGTCACTATGGTGATGGTATGTTAAAAAAAAAAGTACAATTTGTTTTGAAAAATGATAATTTTTGGTTATAAACTAATTTGGGTTCTTTGTTTTTTTTACTAAACAGATAGATGAATACATTTTTGGCCAACATTTTGCTAAGTTTTAGAAGAAAAAACATTTTTTTTTCAAAATTTTTGGACTTTATATAGCAAAAAAATTAAAAATCCCAGCAGTGAATAAATACCACCAAATAAAGTTTTATCTGTCTCAAAAAAAGGCTAAAAAATTCATATGGGTACAGTGTTGCATGACCGCGCAATTGTCATTCAAAGTGTGATAGCGCTGAAAGCTGAAAGTTGGCCTGAACTGGAAGGGGGGGGGGGGGGGGGGAGTGTCCGGACTGGAAGGGGGGGGGGGGGGGGGGGGGGGGAAGTGTCCGGACTGGAAGGGGGGGGGGGGAAAGTGTCCGGACTGGAAGGGGGGGGGGGGGGGAAAGTGTCCGGACTGGAAGGGGGGGGGGGGGGGGGGGAAAGTGTCCGGACTGGAAGGGGGGGGGGGGGGGAGTGGAGGGGGAAGTGTCCGGACTGGAAGGGGGGGGGGGGAAAGTGTCCGGACTGGAAGGGGGGAGGGGGAAAGTGTCCGGACTGGAAGGGGGGGGGGGGGGAAAGGGGGGGGGGGGGGAAAGTGTCCGGACTGGAAGGGGGGAGGGGGAAAGTGTCCGGACTGGAAGGGGGGGGGGGGGGGAAAGTGTCCGGACTGGAAGGGGGGGGGGGGGGGAAAGTGTCCGGACTGGAAGGGGGGGGGGGGGGAAGTGTCCGGACTGGGGGGGGGGGGGGGGGGGAAAGTGTCCGGACTGGAAGGGGGGGGGGGGGGGAAAGTGTCCGGACTGGAAGGGGGGGGGGGGGGGAAAGTGTCCGGACTGGAAGGGGGGGGGGGGGAAAGTGTCCGGACTGGAAGGGGGGGGGGGGGGAAAGTGTCCGGACTGGAAGGGGGGGGGAAAGTGTCCGGACTGGAAGGGGGGGGGAAAGTGTCGGACTGGAAGGGGGGGGAAAGTGTCCGGACTGGAAGGGGGGGGGGAAAGTGTCCGGACTGGAAGGGGGGGGGGAAAGTGTCCGGACTGGAAGGGGGGGGGAAAGTGTCCGGACTGGAAGGGGGGGGGGGGGGAAAGTGTCCGGACTGGAAGGGGGGGGGGGGGGGGGGGGGGAAGGGGGGAAAGTGTCCGGACTGGAAGGGGGGGGAAAGTGTCCGGACTGGAAGGGGGGGGGGGGGGGGGGGCGGGGAGTGTCCGGACTGGAAGGGGGGGGGGGGGGGGGGGACTGGAAGTGTCCGGACTGGGGGGGGGGGGGGGGGGGGGGGGGGAAGTGTCCGGACTGGAAGGGGGGGGGGGGGGGGAAGTGTCCGGACTGGAAGGGGGGGGGGGGGGGGGGGGGGGAGTGTCCGGACTGGAAGGGGGGGGGGGGGGAAAGTGTCCGGACTGGAAGGGGGGGGGGGGGGGGGGGGGGGGGGTGTCCGGACTGGAAGTGGGGACTGGGGGGGGGGGGGGAGTGTCCGGACATGAAGTGGTTATATACAGTACATTCTTTCAGCTATAAGCGGTTAATACGTTCTGCAGTATTGATAGGAATTACAAGGGTGCCACCTGCTGTGCAATCCACAAACTGCAGAATGTAATGGTATTCTATGGCCAGCAGTGACCCATGTCAGTTACTGGATGACTTTGAGGGGGGCGGGCATGTAACCTGGAATAACGGAAGCCCTGAATTCGACCCAGGGGTGGTGGGAACCCTTCATAATGGGCACAGCAGTTTATAGACCTGGGAATGAAGACCATAATCCACCAAAGACCAGCTTACAAATTTAAAGGTGTATCAAAATCCATGGATAAAAATGTAATAATGCAACGTACCAATCATTCGTTGCGACGGCTGCATTAGGTTTCTTTTTAAGGCTTATCCTTTAATCTTCACCTGGTGATCCCGCCAGTAATATACTTCCTGTCCTGGGGGACAATACTCACTCACTGTACTGGATATGTGGAGAATACCGTCACCCTAGGAGCAGGACATAGTTTAGGACTACAAATCCTCTGCCCCTCTTGACAAAACATGGAGGGAGGGGGATGGGTTTTGTGGGCCACAAAGGATAACTGGGCAGGGCTGATATATTTTGAGAAACACTGTGGAATACATAGGACAGCACTGCATTTCTGGCAGGATCAAACCTTGACACTTGTCAAATACCAAAAACTTTTCAATGGGTAAAAAAACTTACCACTTGCCTCCAAAAAGGTTTTACCCCCCCCCCCGACCAGGCCATTTTTTGTGGCTTTTTATGGCGCTGCGATACTTTAGCTGGCAATAACTAAACTTAACGGTCATGCAACGTCGCACCCAAATTAAATTTATTTTATGCCCTTTTTTTTTCCCTCCCACAAATAGAGCTCTTTCGGTGGTATTTTGTCACCTCTGCATTTTTGTGTGCTGTAAAAAAAAAAAATATATGGAAATCATGTATTTCTCACGAAACGTATTGCATTAACACATGTTTTGCTATACACATGTTTATTCCCTTTGTGTGTATTGGGACAAAACAAAAAAAAGGGAGGAAAGAAAGCAAATTCGACATAATGTCACACAAACCTCCAAAAATGGGCTGGACAAAAGTATTGGCACCCTTTCACAACTGCGGATAAATAAGAATGTTACAAGCATGTGATGCTCCTGTAAACTCACCTGGGGCAAGTAACAGGTGTGGGCAATATAGAAATCACACCTGAAAGCAGATAAAAAGGAGAGACGTTCACTTAACCTTTGCATTGTGTGTCTGTCTGTGCCACACTAAGCATGGACAACAGAAAGAGGAGACGAGAACTGTCTGAGGACCTGAGAACCAAAATTGTGGCAAAATATCAACAATCTCAAGGTTACAAGTCCATCTCCAGAGAACTAGATTTGCCTTTGTCCACAGTGCGCAACATTATCAAGAAGTTTGCAACCCATGGCACTGTAGCTAATCTCCCTGGTCGTGGACGGATGAGGAAAATTGATGAAAGATTGCAACGCAGAATAGTCCGGATGGTGGATAAGCAGCCCCAAACATGTTCCAAAGACATTCAAGCTGTCCTGCAGGCTCAGGGAGCATCAGTGTCAGCGCGAACTATCCGTCGACATTTAAATGAAATGAAACGCTATGGCAGGAGACCCAGGAGGACCCCACTGCTGACACAGAGACATAAAAAAGCAAGACTACAGTTTGCCAAAATGTACTTGAGTAAGCCAAAAGCCTTCTGGGAAAACGTCTTGTGGACAGATGAGACCAAGATAGAGCTTTTCGGTAAAGCACATCATTCTACTGTTTACCGAAAACGGAATGAGGCCTACAAAGAACAAAACACAGTACCTACGGTAAAATATGGTGGAGGTTCAATGATGTTTTGGGGTTGTTTTGCTGCCTCTGGCACTGGGTGCCTTGACTGTGTGCAAGGCATCATGAAATCTGAGGATTACCAAAGGATTTTGGGTCGCACTGTAGGGCCCAGTGTCAGAAAGCTGGGTTTGCGTCCAAGATCCTGGGTCTTCCAGCAGGACAATGACCCCAAACATACGTCAAAAAGCACTCAGAAATGGATGGCAAAGAAGCGCTGGAGAGTTCTGAAGTGGCCAGCAATGAGCCCAGATCTAAATCCCATTGAACACCTGTGGAGAGATCTTAAAATTGCTGTTGGGAAAAGGTGTCCTTCCAATAAGAGAGACCTGGAGCTGTTTGCAAAGGAAGAGTGGTCCAAAATTCCGGGTGAGAGGTGTCAGAAGCTTATTGATGGTTATAGGAAGCGACTGATTTCAGTTATGTTTTCCAAAGGGTGTGCAACCAAATATTAAGTTAAGGGTGCCAATACTTTTGTCCAGCCCATTTTTGGGGTTTTGTGTGACATTATGTCATATTTGCTTTTCTGCCTCTGTTTTATATTTGTTCCAATACATACAAAGGGAATAAACATGTGTATAGCAAAACATGTGTTAATGCAATACCTTTTTTGTGTGAAATACTTGATTTTCAGGAAAAATAACACACCACACAATATATATATATACACACACAACCACACTTACAGTCAGGTCCATAAATATTGGGACATCAACACAATTTAACATTTTTGGCTCTATTATACACCACCACAATGGATTTGAAATTAAACAAACAAGATGTGCTTTAACTGCAGGGACTATCAGCTTTAATTTGAGGGTATTTACATCCAAATCCGGTGAACGGGTGTAGGAAATTACAACAGTTTGCATATGTGCCTCCCACTTGTTAAGGGACGAAAAGTAATGGGACAATTGGCTTCTCAGCTGTTCCATGGCCGAGTGTGTGTGTTATTCCCTCATTATCCAATTACAATGAGCAGATAAAAGGTCCAGAGTTCATTTCAAGTGTGCTATTTGCATTTGGAATCTGTTGCTGTCAACTCTCAAGATGAGATCCAAAGAGCTGTCACTATCAGTGAAGCAAGCCATCATTAGGCTGAGAAAACAAAACAAACCCATCAGAGAGATAGCAAAAACATTAGGCGTGGCCAAAACAACTGTTTGGAACATTCTTAAAAAGAAGGAACGCACCGGTGAGCTCAGCAACACCAAAAGACCTGGAAGATCACGGAAAACAACTGTGGTGGATGACCGAAGAATTCTTTCCTGGTGAAGAAAACACCCTTCACAACAGTTGTCCAGATCAAGAACACTCTCCAGGAGGTAGGTGTATGTGTGTCAAAGTCACCAATCAAGAGAGAAGACTTCACCAGAGTGAATACAGAGGGTTCACCACAAGATGGAAACCATTGGTGAGCCTCAAAAACAGGAAGGCCAGATTAGAGTTTGCCAAACATCCAAAAAATCCTTCACAGTTCTGGAACAACATCCTATGGACAGATGAGACCGAGATCAACTTGTACCAGAGTGAGGGAGGGGAAGAGAAGAGTATGGAGAAGGAACTGCTCATGATCCTAAGCATACCACCTCATCAGTGAAGCATGGTGGTGGTAGTGTCATGGCATGTAGGTGGGCATGTATGGCTGCAAATGGAAATGCTTCTCTTGTATTTATTGATGATATGACTGCTGACAAAAGCAGCCGGATGAATTGTGAAGTGTTTCGGGAATATTATCTGCTCATATTCAGCCAAATGCTTCACAACTCATTGGACGCTTCACAGTGCAGATGGACAATGACCCAAAGCAGACTGCAAAAGCAACCAAAGAGTTTTTTAAGAGAAAGAAGTGGAATGTTCTGCAATGGCAAGTCAATCACCTGACCTGAATCCGATTGAGCATTTCACTTGCTGAAGACAAAACTGAAGGGAAAATGCCCCAAGAACAAGCAGGAACTGAAGACAGTTGCAGTAGAGGCCTGGCAGAGCATCACCAGGGATGAAACCCAGCGTCTGGTGATGTCTATGTGTTCCACACTTCAGGCTGTAATTGACTGCAAAGGATTTGCAACCAAGTATTAAAAGTGAAAGTTTGATTTATGATTATTCTGTCCCATTACTTTTGGTCCCTTAACAAGTGGGAGGCACATATGCAAACTGTTGTAATTCCTACACCCGTTCACCTGATTTGGATGTAAATACCCTCAAATTAAAGCTGACAGGTCTGCAGTTAAAGCACATCTTGTTCGTTTCATTTCAAATCCATTGTGGTGGTGTATAGAGCCAAAAATGTTAGAATTGTGTTGATGTCCCAAATTATTTATGGACCTGACTGTATATGTGCCCCCCCCCTATATATATATATATATAATATATATATATATATATATATATTATATTTTTTTTTTTTTTTTTGTTTTTTTTTTTTTTTTTTTTTTTTTTTTTTTTTTTTTTTTTTTTTTGGCTTTTTGATATAAAACATGTCCAGTAAAAATTGAAAAAAAAAAGGAAAAAAAACAACCTAATTTAGTCATAATTTTAGGCCAAAATGTATTCTGCTCCACGTCTTTGCTAACGTGTAAATTAATTGGTTTACGTGAAATTTACAGCATCATCTACAAATGGTGGTATATACATACTGGAAGTTTTTTTCTTCTATACTAGTAATGGCGACAATCAGCAACTTATAGTGGGACACCGGCAGGCATTCTGACACGGGGGGGGGGGGGGAGCTGACTGTCACCAATACAGGACTAATGGCACCCACCCGCGGGTCCGCATTTCTCTGTGCGGGTGGTGCAGCTGCACGGATTTTCATGTGGATCCACAGCAGCACCACCCCCACAGATGTGAACCTAGGGTAAAAGCAGATGCAGTGATCTAGCCAATCAATGGGAGGGACACTCACCTGTCTTGCAGTCGGTGGAGGGAGGTGAGAGCAGCTCTCGGAGGTGGGAGGTTTTCATGCCCTGTACCCAGCCGAGGTCCAGCAGAGACAGGCAGGGGAAGGAGGCCGTACAGAGAGAGGAGACTGCGCCCCACGTACATCCAGCCAATAGGAGCTCCTTTAATCCTGGATGGAGGAGAATGACAAGAATGAGCACAGAAAAGTCACCCCCCTCCTAATTCCATTTCCTTACACCCCCCATCGCTCACCCTGCAGTCTGTGTATCAGCCAGGTCAGCTGTTTCTCAGATATGTTGGTCCAGCTCAGGTCTAGTCTGACAGGCTGTCGTCGGACTATACCACTCAGCATTGGAGGGGTGATTGATTTCCGCCTGCTCAAGTCTATGGAAGTCCAGAGGCGTCGATCGCAGCACCTGCCGTGACAGAGGAAGCGTCCCATTAGTCAGGGGTCACCATACGAGGAAAAAGAAGGACCGCCGCTTCCAAATCCAATGCCAGCCTACCTCTGCTGGATACACGTGCCAGCCAAATAAAACTTGTACCCGCTCCCCACCTGTCAGAGGCAAAGAGACCGGCTGCACCTCTATGACATCACTATGAACAAAAAAATGATTCTTCCAGCAAAGAAAACAGAAAAAGTCTGCCCAGACTGCCCTACACTGGCTTGGTGTACCTTAAAGTGTTACTGAACCCCCAACAGTACAATCAGTCTGTAGATGCAGTAAAGCATGCTTGTTATACTCACTGTGGAACCTAAGGGGCTAATCCTCTGCATTGTGTAAAAAGACTGTTTGATCCTGTCTTCTCTGATCCTCCCCTTCTTCCAGTGTCCCCCTCTTATCTCCTGATAAGGCATAGGGTGTGGAGACACTCTGCACATGCTCAGTTTGGTGTTTTGCTGAAGATTTTTTTTTTTTAATTCTTGGGAGAGTACGTGATCAGCACAGGGCCAATCAGTGCTGTCCAGAGGTCAAGGGTTCTGCATCCTCCTAGATCAGAAAGAAAATTCCTTCTACATGCTTCAACCAGTGCTCTGCTGGACACTGATAGAAGTTACAAGACTGCTATATACTGCTGATGAGAAAAGGTATTTAGCAGTTTATATTTACTAAAATAATTGCATTTCCATGTTCTGTGTACTGTGGGAGAGCAGATATAGCCAATGCGGGGTCCGGGGACGGCGGATTGTATATAGCCAATGCGGGGGGGGGACGGCGGATATAGCCAATGCGGGGTCCGGGGACGGCGGATATAGCCAATGCGGGGTCCGGGGACGGCGGATATAGCCAATGCGGGGTCCGGGGACGGCGGATATAGCCAATGCGGGGTCCGGGGACGGCGGATATAGCCAATGCGGGGTCCGGGGACGGCGGATATTGTGACTGCAATTATGTGTATACAATACCTGCCCAATGCCCCCTGGAAACTAGAAATCACTCGTACTCCAGTGCTTCCGAGTCTCCACTCACTTCTGGTTCAGGTGCTAAGCAGCCAGCCAGCACTATTACCCCCACCGACACCAACAATGGAGCACAATTACTCCCACCAACGATGGGGCACTATTCCCCCACCGATACCAATGATGGGGCACTATTCCTCCCACCGATACCAATGATGGGGCACTATTCCTCCCACCGATAACAATGATGGGGCACTATTCCTCCCACCGATAACAATGATGGGGCACTATTCCTCCCACCGACACCAATGATGGGGCACTATTCCCCCCACTGATACCAGTGATGGGGCACTAATCCTCCCACCGACACCAATGATGGGGCACTATTCCCCCACCTGACACCAGTGATGGGGCACTATTCCTCCCACCGACACCAGTGATGGGGCACTATTCCTCCCACCGACACCAATGATGGGGCACTATTCCTCCCACCTGACACCATGATGGGGCACTATTCCTCCCACTGACACCAGTGATGGGGCACTATTCCTCCCACTGACACCAGTGATGGGGCACTATTCCTCCCACTGACACCAGTGATGGGGCACTATTCCTCCCACTGACACCAGTGATGGGGCACTATTCCTCCCACTGACACCAGTGATGGGGCACTATTCCTCCCACTGACACCAGTGATGGGGCACTATTCCTCCCACTGACACCAGTGATGGGGCACTATTCCTCCCACTGACACCAGTGATGGGGCACTATTCCTCCCACTGACACCAGTGATGGGGCACTATTCCTCCCACTGACACCAGTGATGGGGCACTATTCCTCCCACTGACACCATGATGACGGGGCACTATTCCTCCCCCCACTGATACCAATGATGGGGCACTATTCCCTCCCACCGACACCAATGATGGGGCACTATTCCTCCCACCGACACCAATGATGGGGCACTATTCCTCCCACCGACACCAATGACGGGGCACTATTCCTCCCACCGACACCAATGACGGGGCACTATTCCTCCCACCGACACCAATGACGGGGCACTATTCCTCCCACCGACACCAATGACGGGGCACTATTCCTCCCACCGACACCAATGATGGGGCACTATTCCTCCCACTGACACCAATGACGGGCACTATTCCTCCCACCGACTGACCAATGACGGGGCACTATTCCTCCCACCGACACCAATGACGGGGCACTATTCCTCCCACCGACACCAATGACGGGGCACTATTCCTTCCCACCGACAACCAATGACGGGGCACTATTTCCCCCACTCGACACCAATGACGGGGCACTATTCCTCCCACCAGACACCAATGACGGGGCACTATTCCTCCCACCGACACCAATGACGGGGCACTATTCCTCCCACTGATACTAATGATGGGGCACTATTCCTCCCACTGATACTAATGATGGGGCACTATTCCTCCCACTGATACCAAATGATGGGGCACTATTCCTCCCACTGACACCAATGATGGGGCACTATTCCTCCCACTGATACTAATGATGGGGCACTATTCCTCCCACTGATACTAATGATGGGGCACTATTCCTCCCACTGATACTAATGATGGGGCACTATTCCTCCCACTGATACTAATGATGGGGCACTATTCCTCCCACTGTGTACCAATGATGGGGCACTATTCCTCCCACTGACACCTGCGATGGGGCACTATTCCTCCCACTGATACGTCACTTGATGGGGCACTATTCCTCCCACTGATACCAATGATGGGCACTATTCTCCCACTGATACCAAATGATGGGGAACTGAATTCCTCCCACTGACGAAACCAATGATGGGGCACTATTCCTCCCACTGACAATTTATGGGGCACTATTCCTCCCCACTGACACCAACAATGGGGCACAATTCCTATAACAGCAAAAATAGGGCATTTAAATATCTGGACCATTAGCAGCGCATGTGCATACAAAGCCACCACAATTACAAGTGATAAAACTATAAGATAAGTAAATGAAGTCCATTCCACTAAAAACAGAATAGCAGTGAAAAATACTGATGAAGTCCACAAAAAAAGTCCTTCTTCCCAATCAGATCACCAGGTGGATATATAAACTCATAAGAAGGATGCAGACTTGGCCCCACAACACCTCGTGCTCAAAACAAACTCACAAATAGGAGTTGAATACATGCCAAACAATGATCATCCCGCAATGGTGTAGTCTGCCGCATGAGCTACGTCCCACCCACCTGACTGCGTAAAAACCGCGAGCAGAACGTCACTTCTGGAGGGGGAAATGAGGTAGAATCGATTGTCCCGGTTGTCGTGCGATCTGACCGACGCATTTCATCACCTGACTTCAATGGGGAACCCTTTGAAGTCAGGTGACGAAACGCATCAGAGTTGGACCAGACGACAACCGAGATCCACCTCCTATCCCCCCCCCCGACGGAAGTGACATTCTCTCACGGTTAGCGAGGTCACTCATTGAAAGTTTATATATCCACCTTGGAATTGGATTGGGAAGATGGACTTCTAACACTACTGTTTGTGGATGTTTTCAGCAGTTTTTTTCACCGCTATTATATTTTTAGTGGAATGGACCAGTGTTTCTCAAACATTTTTCAGTCTACGCGCCCTTTAAAATTGGACAGTCCCAACGCACCCTTTAAAATTATGGACAGTCCCAGGGCACCCTTTAAAATCATGGACAGGCCCAGGGCACCCTTTAAAATCATGGACAGGCCCAGGGCACCCTTTAAAATCATGGACAGGCCCAGGGCACCCTTTACAATTATGGACAGGCCCGAGGCACCCTTTAAAATCATGGAGAGGCCCGAGGCACCCTTTAAAATCATGGACAGGCCCAGGGCACCCTTTAAAATCATGGACAGGCCCAGGGCACCCTTTAAAATCATGGACAGGCCCAGGGCACCCTTTAAAATCATGGACAGGCCCAGGGCACCCTTTAAAATCATGGACAGGCCCAGGGCACCCTTTAAAATCATGGACAGGCCCAGGGCACCCTTTAAAATCATGGACAGGCCCAGGCACCCTTTAAAATCATGGACAGGCCCAGGGCACCCTTTAAAATCATGGACAGGCCCAGGGCACCCTTTAAAATCATGGACAGGCCCAGGGCACCCTTTAAAATCATGGACAGGCCCAGGGCACCCTTTAAAATCATGGACAGGCCCAGGGCACCCTTTAAAATCATGGACAGGCCCAGGGCACCCTTTAAAATCATGGACAGGCCCAGGGCACCCTTTAAAATCATGGACAGGCCCAGGGCACCCTTTAAAATTATGGAGAGTCTTGAGACACCCCATTCTAAAATGTGAAAAACTATTCTCATAGTTTTGTATAAACACAACATCCACACAAAGAGGACGCCCAACATTAGAGGTGATTTCTTCTTTCAAAGCAAATACACTTCTGCACACTGGTACTGATTATTATTCCAGTGTTTCTCCTCTCCCGCTCATGTGACCCCAGCACTGAGAGAGAAGCAGGGATGACCAAACTAGGATGCTGTGTACGCAGCTGACATCCTCCTTATCAACTGATGATGTCATTGGCTGTCAGGATGGCGGTGGCTAGAAAAATCATATTGGTGTCTATGTGCCAGTAATGAATACCTGTGGCTTTGTGTAACTAAAAGGCAGGCTAGTTTCCACCCGCTGGCTTGTGTACAAGTTTTGGGCAATTTTTTGACATTCTGCCAAGGCACCCCTGAAGAAGCCTCAAGGCACCCCTGAAGAAGCCTCAAGGCACCCTGGTTGAGAAATGCTGGAATGGACTTTATTTACTTATCTATACAGTTTTATCACTTGTAAGTTGTGTTATTATTGTATGCACATGCGCTGCTAATGGTCCAGATATGTCAATGTACGGTGGTGTTTTGCACTCATTCATCGGTATTATATTTATGATTTTTAGGGTCACATTAGAAGTCTTCAGATTGCCCCTACTTTTATACACTGTCATTTCTATAAATGCATGTCACACTTTTTTTTTTTAATGGTTTCAATTTTACTGAGTAGTTTATATCACTTCACTATGCGGTGACTAGTATTTAAAAATGGAGCATTGTTCCCTCCCCACTTATGTCAAAACATTTTTTTTCTCCTGACGGCCACAGTTTGGTCCCCAAAGGTTTGAAGACAGTAACCTGGCTCATTGTTTAGAAAGTTTGAGGCGCCTCGGTGAGCGTGCTACCAGCTTTAAGAGCCGGTGATGGGTTTTCCGGTATTAAGGGGCTTTCAAAGTGTCCTTCAATAGGGGTGCTAGATCTAGCGACAACCAGGGATCCCCTCATATTGTAGAGATTTCCTCACACTTCCTGTTTTGGCTATGGGACAGAAGTCAGGGGAAATGTCCCCAATGGAACACAGATGGTGAAAAAAAAAAAAACAAAAAACCTTTACAGGGTTTATAACCCTCCTGAACTCGATCCAAAATGAAAAAGGTTTTACTGGTAAACGCATTTCCTTTCTAAGGGTGGCTCTACTCTGGATGGAGATAGTGTTAGAGGAGCAGATTTAGATCCATTTGTCTAACAAATTACATTCCAATTTGTCTAACAAATGAAAGCTGAACTCCAGCTAGCATTCTTCAAGCAGTTATAGCAGCTGATTTTTTCCTAAGATACAGGTTATACATAAATAAAAACGGATCATTGTAAGCATGTGGATGGGGGGGAGGGGGGTAGTGTTAGAGGAGCAGATTTAGATCCATTTGCCTAACACTAACACCCCCCCCCCCCTCTCCATCCACATGCTTACAATGATCCACTTTTATTTATGTATAACCTGTATCCCAGATAGGAAAATATCAGCTGCTATAACTGCTTGAAAAATGTTAGCTGGAGTTCAGCTTTCATTTATTAGACAAAATGAAATATAATTTGTTAGACAAATGGATCTAAATCTGCTCCTCTAACAAATTAAATTCCATTTTGTCTAAAAAATGAAAGCTGAACTCCAACTATCATCTTTCAAGCAGTTAGGAAAAAATCAGCTGCTGTAACTGCTTGAAAAATGATAGCTGGAGTTCAGCTTTCATTTGTTAGACAAAATGGAATTTAATTTGTTAGAGGAGCAGATTTAGATCCATTTGTCTAACAAATTATATTTCATTTTGTCTAATAAATGAAAGCTGAACTCCAGCTAACATTTTTCAAGCAGTTATAGCAGCTGATTTTTTTCCTATCTGGGATAGAGGTTATACATAAATAAAAGCGGATCATTGTAAGCACCACTGTCAGCGGTCTCAACCCTTTAACTGACACTTTGAGGGAGATTTACTAAAACTGGAGCACTCAGAATCTGGTGCAGCTGTGCATGGGAGCCAATCAGCTTCTAACTTCAGCTTGTTCAATTACGCGACAATAAAACTTGGAAGCTGGTTGGTTTCTGTGAAGAGCTGCACCAGGTTTTACACTCTCCAGTTTTGGCAAAAACCCCTTTTGTCTGGACCGTTTGGTCTGGTAAAGGAAGTTGAAAAAAAAAACAGACTTGCTGGCAGGATCACCAGGTTAAAAAGAAAATGGCAATTAAAAACTAATGCAGCCATCACATCTAATGGTTGGTAAGCTGCAATATATTAAATCTTGTGTTGTCTTTAGCACCGCATTAATGCTACAGACTGCAATATATGTGTACTTTGCTTTGCCCACAGTTCCATTTTAAAGCATGCTTCTCCCCAAGAGTGCAGAAAAAGTTAAAATCCCATCATCACGTTTTGCCCCTATTTTGGAACGATATTGAAAAAAAAAAAACGTTGAACTTCTGTGTGGGTTCAAACCCTTTCCCACACTGCCAACTAAACTGATTTTTGTTGCCGTCTGTCCACATTGAAGAGATTCTCTTCACTTCCTATCTGGTTTATCTAAAAGGAAGTGAAGGGAAACCTACCCAAGAGGGATACAGACAGCAACAAAAATCTAACTCCGTTTCCCATCTAACCTGCTCCAGCCAAAATGATCGTTTTGACTGGAGTCCTCCTTTAAATTCTCGTGTTTTTATAAGTTGCCACACATGAAACGTTTGCTTTATAGCCAAACTAAATAAAAGGAAACACCCTTGTAATGCCCCCCCATAAAGAAGGTGATGTACTTACCTTACACCTCAGTCTTGTAGGCTTCCTCCTGCTTCTGTGACCAGTCCCCGCTCTCTGACATCATCCTGTACAATGCAGGGCCAGCAGTCCTATATTGTACAAGGCACCACCAAGGGCCCGTTCACATTGCCAAGCAATGGACAGCGGAGAAGAGCACTGGCTGAAGTGGGAAAGCAACGCAAGAGAAGTACAGTGAAGGAAATTATTATTTAATCTCCTGCCGATTTTGAATGTTCGCCCCTCACAAAGAATTGATCGGTCTAAAAATCGAATGTTCGGTGTATTGTAACACTGAGAGACAGAATACAACAACAAATTCAGCAGAAATGCGTCTAACAAATGATGACTGATCTGCATGTTCATGAGGGAAAGAAGGATTTGATCCCCTATCATTCAGCAGGATTTCTGGCTACCAGGTGTCTTTCATACAGGTAGCAAGCTGAGATTAGAAGCAGTCTCTTAAAGGGAGTGCTGCTAATCTCATTGTGTTACCTGTATAAAAGACACCTGTCCACAGGAGCAATCAAACCATCAGATTCCAAACTCTCCACCATGGCAAAGACCAAAGAGCTGTCCAAGGATGTCAGGGACAAGATGGTAGACCTACACAAGGCTGGACTGGGCTACCAAACTATGGCCAAGCAGCTTGGTGAGAAGGTGACAACAGTTGGTGCAATCATTCACAAATGGAAGAAACACAAAACAAGTGTCAGTCTCCCCAGGTCTGGTGCACCATGCAAGATCTCACCTCGTGGAGTGTCAATGATCATGAGAACAGTGAGGAATCATCCCAGAACTACACGTGAGGGATCCTGTCAATGATCTCCAGGCAGCTGGGACCACAGTCACCAAGAAAACAATTGGTAACACACTACGCCGACAAGGACTGAAATCCTGCAGTGCCCGCAAGGTCCCTCTGCTCAAGAAAGCACATGTCCAGGACCGTCTGATGTCTGCCACTGAACATCTGAATGATGCAGAGGAGGACTGGTTGAAAGTGTGGTCAGATGAGACCAAAATGGAGCTCTTTGGCATCAACTCAACTCACCGTATTTGGAGGAGGAGGAATGCTGCCTATGACCCCAAGAACACGATCCCAACTGTGAAACATGGTGGAAACATTCTGCTTTGGGGGGGGGGGGGGGTTTCTGCTAAGGGGACAGGACAACTGCGCCGCATCAAAGAGACGATGTACGGGGCAATGTACCGTCAAATCTTGGGTGAGAACCTTCCCTCAGCCAGGGCATTGAAAATGGGTGGTGGATGGGTGTTCCAGCATGACAATGACCCAAAAACACACGGCCAAGGCAACAAAGGAGCGGCTCAAGAAGAAGCACATTAAGGTCCTGGAGTGGCCTAGCCAGTCTCCAGACCTTCATCCGATTGAAAATCTGTGGAGGGAGCTGAAAGTTCGAGTTGCCAAACGTCAGCCTCCAAACCTTAATGACTTGGAGAGGATCTGCCAAGAGGAGTGGGCCAAAATCCCTCCTGAGATGTGTGCGAACCTGGGGGCCAACTCCAGGAAACATCTGACCTCTGATTTCCAACAAGGGTTTTTGCCACCAAGTACTAAGTCATGTTTTGTGAAGGGGATCAAATACTTATTTCCCTCATGAATATGCAAATCAGTCATAATTTGTTAGACGCATTTCTGCTGAATTTGTTGTTGCTATTCTGTCTCAGTGTTACGATAAACCGAACACTCGATTTTTAGATCGATCATTTCTTTGTGAGGAGCGAACATTCAAAATCAGCCGGGGAGCAAATACGCATTTCCTTCACTGTACATCACCCTACTGATTATCCCCCTAGGCAAACTGAGCTGGTAACCCATGCAGTGGGCAGAAGTAACCACTGCAAGGGTATTTCCCCCCCTCCAGCGAGTTCAGCTTGCTTCTTTGAACAGGAATCGATGTAAGGGGGCCCCTCTTTTTCTCTTTGCTTCATTACTACTTCCATGCATTTCAGAGTTTCCCAGAGGTAAAGAAAGCCTGTATTATAGCACTCAGTGCTTACCACGGTTCCAGGTTCGGCACACCCGCATACAGACACACAGCTCTTTCTGTCCCAAGTGCCTGAACACAGATAGCCAGACCCCCCTCTGCATGACATGGTCCGTTCCACTGTCCAAGGGAAGGGAGTCTGGTTCAGGGCTGTGTGGAGGGGGTCGTACCACATGTCTCTCTAGCTGCAGGGGAGGGGGCTTTGGCGGAGAGGGGACCAGCGGCCTTTTTAAGAGTTGGCTCCTGGATAAGGGTTGTACCGCATTTCTGCTACAAGTTCCCTTTTTAACAGCAGCCCCCGCACTTCTTCGGTTTTCCTTCTCCCGGCAATTTGATCTGGGCGACTTCTGTTTGCCATTCCTGGTGCCGTTCTGTCCATCTGCAGAGCTTCCTTTATCGTCTTCCTCGTCTGAGCTGGTACTGAAGCTGACACGCGAGGTCCGACCCTCTCCGCCTTCCCCTGTGCCGCTGCTCCCCGGCGAGCCCTTGGAGTCGGAATCGGAGTCAGAATCTGAGCTGGAACTAGAGGTGGTGCTGCGGGCCCTCTCCAACATCTGACACATCTGCTTGAAGCGCTCGATCTTCTCTCTCTGGTGGGAGCGGTCCAGCACTGGAGTGGGTTCCGTTGGCGTCTGAGGTTCCTGCACAAAAAAAAAAAAAAAAAAAAAAAAGCGAAAAATCAATGTCGTGAAATTCAATTAGAAAAATGTCTAAACAGAAGTAATTTCACACCTTCATATGGAAAAGACACAATGGGGGTCAGGGATCTCACTCACCTTTTTAATTTTCTTATCTTTCTCAGCCTTTACCTGTAAGAGAGAAACCAGTGAGAAAACCTGAGCACCTCCACTCTTCACGTTACAATCATCTGCAACATACATGACTGAATGATTTAAGAGAAGGAATGATTTAGAAAGGTACAGTTGCAAGAAAAAGTATGTGAACCCCTTGGGATTACGTGGAGTTTTGCATGAATTGGGCATAAAATGTGCTCTGAACTTCATCTAAGTCACAACAATAGAAGAACACAGTCTGCTGAACATAATACTACACAAACATTAGATGTTGCCATGGTTTAATTACACATAACATGTAAACATTCACAGTGCAGGGAGGAAAAAGTATGTGAGGCCCTAGCTTAATGACTTCTCCCAGAGCTAATTGGAGCCAGGAGTGAGCCAACCTTGACTCCAATCAGTGTGATGATATTGGATGTGTTGCTGACAGCTGTCCTGCCCTTAAAAAACACACACCTGTTTTGGGTTTACTGGTTTCAAGAAGCACTGTCTGATGTGAACCTTGCCTCGCAGAAAAAGAGCTCTCAGAAGACCTACGATCAAGAATTGCTGACTTGCATGAAGCTGGAAGGGTTACAAAAGTATCTCCAAAAGCCTTGATGTTCATGTGTCCACAGTAAGACAGACTGTCTACAAATGGAGGAAGTTTAGCACTGTTGCTACTCTCCCTAGGCGCGGTCGTCCTGTAAAAATGACTGCAAGAGCACAGCGCAGAATGCTGCATGAGGTAAAGAAGAATCCCAGAGTGTCAGCTAAAGACCTACAGAAATCTCTGGCACATGCTAACATTTTTGTTGACACATCTACAATAAGGAAAACATTAAACAAGAATGGAGTACATGGGAGGACACCACGGAGGAAGCCATTGCTGTCCAAAAAGAATATTGCAGCACGTTTGAAGTTTGCAAAAGAGCACCTGGATGTTCCACAGCACTACTGGCAAAATATACTGTGGACAGATGAAACCAAGATTGAGTTGTTTGGGAAGAACACACAACACTATGTGTGGAGAAAAAAAAGGCACAGCACACGGACATCAAAACCTCATCCCCACTGTGAAACATGGCGGAGGTTGTGCAGGGTTGTGCGCATACATGCCCCAAACCCGGAAGTCCAGCCGCAATGTACAAGTACGTCACCTGCCCCACCCATACCACTCGCCCGCAGTACATGCAAGTGGTTAAAGAGAAATTTCATTTGTGTTTGGCGTTTTAAGTCAGCAGTTGCAAATACTGTCAGCTACTTACCAGCGCCTGGGGTCCAGCATGGTCTTCACACAGCTGGTTCTCCTTACTGCTGTAGGACCTCGGTGCCACCAACCTGGATACAGGAGTCAGCTGCAGCTGAGGAACCACAGTTGACTCCCCACTGCGCATGTGCAAGCTAGCACCGCATTTTGTGAATGGCCCTGCAGCCTCCTGGGACTTGTGACTTGTCCCAGGGGGCCAAGGCTGGGGGGAGGGAGTCAACCAGAGGGACTTCACTTCCACTCTGGGAAGTTTTGTGTGAGAGCAACTGCAGGCTCAGAGTGGTGTTTTTTTTACATAGGCTTTTATTTAATGGGTATGCTGTTCTCTCTCTTACTCACTACTTTGTTATGACCCCAAATTGCACACTGAAATGTTTACTTTAGGCCTGAGCCATACAACAAAAATGTTGTGTTTTAATGCAGAAAAACAGACAAGTATGAACAGGCCCTACATCTTTGCTGGATCCCTACTTGCATGGTTGACCAGCACTGAAGTACGGAGAGGGTAAATACAGACTGCTAATATATAGGGTTTCAATTGTGGGGGAGAAACAAAGTAAAAAATAAAATCTTAGACTCCAACTTTAATGACTGCATTCAGCGGTGGCTTCACATTACACATTCCGTTACCTTCTTCTTCAGTCCCGCATCCTGCACCGGCTCTTTCTCCTTCTTCCTTTTATGTCCCTGATTCTCATCTGCGGTTTTCTTCTTACCCGGAGCAGGATCGTCCGTCAGTTTCCACCGCACAGCGTCTTCACCATTATCAGGACGTTTTTTCCCAGATCCATCCATCCAGGGAGTCCTGGAAGAATAAGACACGTTAGCCTGTTTCTATATATCAGGCAGCGGGCCTGTGTATATTCACCACAAAAGAGAAATTCCAGTAGCAACCCACTGATCTGTGTATTCAGGGATTGCAAGACAAGATGACCCACAGAGTTCCTGGATCTAGCCTGTCGTGGAGCTTAGAAATGTTACCAACAGGGATCCCACCTTTAAAGAACAGACCATGGCACATGCAAGCCCCAATTGCCCTACAGACTGAGGATGTAACCTGTGCTGCACCCCTTTTTCATGGACTGTTTATGGCCCCGATATCAAGCATGTAGCTCTTTGGCACTTATGCAGCCCTCAGGGCCCCTGCAGACACTAAACTGTGTTTCCCTATTCTCCTGTTATAGCAGTGGTTTCTAGCAGTTTCATGTAATAGGTCTCCTGGCTCCCACCGCCATCTCCCGTAGGCGCCTACCGCAGGCTCCCACCGCCATCTCCCGTAGGCGCCTACCGCAGGCTCCCACCGCCATCTCCCGTAGGCGCCTACCGCAGGCTCCCACCGCCATCTCCCGTATCCTACCGCAGGCTCCCACCGCCATCTCCCGTATCCTACCGCAGGCTCCCACCGCCATCTCCCGTAGGCGCCTACCGCAGGCTCCCACCGCCATCTCCCGTAGGCGCCTACCGCAGGCTCCCACCGCCATCTCCCGTATCCTACCGCAGGCTCCCACCGCCATCTCCCGTATCCTACCGCAGGCTCCCACCGCCATCTCCCGTATCCTACCGCAGGCTCCGACCGCCATCTCCCGTATCCTACCGCTGGCTCCGACCGCCATCTCCCGTATCCTACCGCAGGCTCCGACCGCCATCTCCCGTATCCTACCGCAGGACTCCGACCGCCATCTCCCATATCCTACCGCAGGCTCCGACCGCCATCTCCCGTATCCTACCGCAAGCTCCGACCGCCATCTCCCGTATCCTACCGCAGGCTCCGACCGCCATCTCCCGGTATCCTACCGCAGGCTCCGACCGCCATCTCCCGTATCCTACCGCAGGCTCCAAACACCATCTCCTGTATCCTACCGCAGGCTCCAAACACCATCTCCCGTATCCTACCGCAGGCTCTGACCATCTCCCGGTACCCTACCGCAGGCTCTGACCATCTCCCGGTACCCTACCGCAGGCTCTGACCATCTCCCGGTACCCTACCGCAGGCTCTGACCATCTTCCCGGTACCCTACCGCAGGCTCTGACCATCTTCCGGTACCCTACCGCAGGCTCTGACCATCTCCCGGTACCCTACCGCAGGCTCTGACCATCTTCCCGGTACCCTACCGCAGGCTCTGACCATCTTCCGGTACCCTACCGCAGGCTCTGACCATCTCTCGTAGTCTTGCACTATATCCTGTTATGTGTCTGCTGTCTCTGACACTGAATATTCACCGAATTGTATATTCAGCCCCTTTGGTGACGTTGAAGGCCACATTTGAAGCACTCCACATGAGGAAAGTGGACCACCACAGGTTGCTAACTCACTACATAGGTAGTCAGGTTGAAAAAAAAAAAAAAAAAAACCCCAACAACAGGACTGAAGTCAAGTCCAACCAATAAAAAAAGGGGAAAAAAAAATAAAAAACATTTCTACAATCCCATATACACAATCCTATACCCACAGTTGATCCAGAGGAAGTAAAAAAAACCCAGCAAAGCACGATCCAATTTGCTGCACCTTCCAACTCCAGTCAGGTACTTCACCTTGCATGTCCGGCCTTCACGCTTACATCTCGGACATTCCCAGCAGTTGGGAATCTCTGTGTTGATAACCGCTTCAGCTTTGCCCATCTGAAGAAAAAGACAAAAAAAAAAAAAAGGGGGGGGGGGGTGGAGAGGGTGTAAGGGAAACAATTACAATAAAAGGTAGAAGCCATAAAAGTAAGAGACGGAACAGAGGACGTGAAAGCCCAGAGGCATGCTACAGGCCGCTTCACTCGGTGAGGGAGGCTTACCTTGATACAACCGGGGTGAACAATCTCATTACAAATGGTACATTCCATGAGCGACAGATTAAACTTCTGTTCCTCATCCTGGGCGGTGTCTTCCTTCCCCGCATCTCCGCAGAGAAGACACACTGCAGTATGGGGGAGTACGGGCTGTGGAGGAAAGAAGATCTTAGAGCACTGCTTCCAATACGCCCCTTATTATGTCTGGATACCAGACACCCTCATATGACAGTGGACTTAGATACGGGTGACCTTCTCCTGCAAACAGTGGAAGCGGTCAGTGACAAAGCCCTTACACTGGGGAACCTTTAGTTGCATTTTTGCCCTGGTCCACGTTTTTACCCATCCAGCAGCGTCTCCGTAGCCCCCCTTTCCCCAGGACCCCGGCACCATTGATATAGTCCAGTCATCAGAAGCAGGAGTGGGCATGGTATGCCTCCTGAACCCAATAGGCTCTGATGCAGCAGGGTGGACCGCAAGCTCTGTCAACTGTATGGAAGTGTTTGCTGCTCCCGGTCCAAGAATTATATGCTAAAAAAAAAAAAATTGCAGACTGGGACGTCATCCACCTGCCTCTCCACCTCAGCCAATCAAAGGAAGCCTTGCATTCAATGATTAAAATACAAGGCTTCCCTTGAATGGTGGAGAAGAACTAAGCGGACTTTGTATCTAACAGCAGACAGAAGTTGCCCGTACAGCTGCTGGAACACAGTGCTGTTTATCGTATGCAGGTAATGCTACAACAGACCATCACAACAGACCAAGCAGCCACATTGCTCTGTAAGGACAGTAGTAGGTTTAGGCCAGCTTGGCACAATCTAGAGTAGAATTTCATGTCTTAATGTCACTTTAATCACTTCCAGTCTGGACGCTCCCCCCCCCCCTTCCAGTCCGGGCGCTCCCCCCGTCCCCCCTTCCAGTCCGGGCACGCCGTCCCCCCTTCCAGTCCGGGCACGCCGTCCCCCCTTCCAGTCCGGGCACGCCGTCCCCCCTTCCAGTCCGGGCACGCCGTCCCCCCTTCAGTCCAGTCCGGGCACGCCGTCCCCCCTTCCAGTCCGGGCACTTTCACCCCCCTTCCTGTCCAGACCAATTTTCAGCTTTCAGCGTTATCACACTTTGCATGACAATTGCACGGTCATGCAACACTGTACTCATATGAATTTTTTAGCATTTTTTTGACACAGATAAAACCTTATTTTGGTGGCATTTATTCACCACTGAGATTATTTTTTTTTGCTATATAAATGAAAAATTCCAAACATTTTGAAAAAAAAAAGTATTTTTCTTATAAAATTTTGCAAATAAATAAACTTTCTTCATAAATCTTGGCCAAAAATGTATTCTGCTTTTTTTTTTCAGTCCAAAAAAAAAAAAAAAAAAAAAAAAAAACCCAAATTAGTTTATAACCAAAAAATTATAATTTTTAAAAACATTTTATATATTATTTTTTTTTTTAGCATACTGTCACCCTAGCAGTACAGTGTCACCATAGTGACACTGTACTACTTGTGGGGGGGTGATGAAGATTTTTTTTTTCTTTTTTTTTACATGGATTGCTTTTACACCCATAAAGGCTGTAAAAGCAATACATTTCTCCTTCTCTCTGGCTGCATTCCTGCAGCCATTGAGAAATACTGTGAGAGCTGTGATTGGTCACAGCTTGTCACATGGTACAGGGCTGTTGCGAATAGCCTTGTACCATGTGATCATTCACAGATTTCACTAGTAGTAAGCAATGATGTCAGGAAGTGAAATCTTGCTTACTACTATTCATGTGATCACTGATTGGTCAATAAGGGATCACATGAATTGGGACCTCACACAGAGGTCCCGTACAGCGATCGGTGTTCTGCTGTGTCCAGAGGACACAGCGAGCACTGAATTGCAGCGCCGCGTGCTCCTAGGGACCGCGCACAGGCAGTGAATGCGGGGGGCCATTTATAAATAAGTGGTTAAATAAATTGTTCTAATGAATACCTGTGAGACAGCCAGACTTTAGATCTTAAAGCGGAGTTCCACCCAAAAGTGGAAGATCCACTTGTTTGCCTCCTCCCCTATTTTTTGACAGGTGCCCGCTCCCACTTCTGGCTCAGTTCGCCGTGGTGAAGTGAGCCGGAAGTTTGGCCCCCACTCTTTCCTCCCACAGTCTCCTGGGAACTGTCACAGGTCCCAGAAGACTGCCGGACCAATCAGAACGCACAGTGCGACTCGCGCACTTGGCTGTGAAGCCACAAGCTGCCCACAGCTGAGATGCCGGCTCCGGAGAGAGAAGTGATGGCACGGGTGAGCACAACGCTGGACCCCGGGACAGGTAAGTGTGTGTTTATTAAAAGCCAGAAGTTACCGTTTTTGTAGCTGCTGACTTAAACACAAAAAAGACTGGAACTCCACTGTAAGCGTCGGTCTGTGATAACTTGCTGTTTATTCCCCGCCCCCCCTACCCCCCCCCCCACACACTCACCGCTGTGCACTGCCTCTTCAGACAAGACTGCTTCATGCGCCCCGGACCGCCAAACTTCTTCATGTCTTTACAGAAGTGGCACTCGCCGCATTCGCTGCGCACACAGGCTTCACACTTTCGGCAGCGCGTCCTCCTGCGCCGCGCGGCTCCCAGGCCCTTTGCCGACATCTCCCACTGGGGCCTTGCGATGCCTCAGCTGCACCCACACCTGGAAAAGAGAGCAGGAAAGAAAAAGAAAAAAAGCAGAATTAGCCGGGGCCATTAACACTAGAAAAAAAAAAAGTAATGTGGCCAAACATGTCCATACGCCTGTAAGAAAACACTCAGCCATGTTATGAACCCTTACTGCCCGCCTGTTCCGTAAAGAAGTTCTCCATCATTTGCAAACAAGGAGTGAATGCAGCAATACCGATCTCAGGATCAATGTGCAATTCCCCATTTTTAGAGTGCGGCCTGCAGAGCATTGCACCTTTGATCGGTGCGTCTAAGGCGCAATGCACAGGCTCTTGCGATGGCTGCCCCAAGCCCCTACAGAGGTCCGGACCTACTAAAGGAAGCGCGTCAAACTACAGAGCAGTGAAGAGGAAAAAGGGATCGCCGGCAAAGTCTGCAACTCCTCTGCCCTGGTGGGAGAGATGGGAAATATAGTCATTCACAAAGAATGATCCCCTGTGTGGGAGGAGCACCGAAATCAATTAAAAATAGACAGTTTGGTTGTTGAAGCCGTAGGTGACCGTGCTTCATATTATATCCAAAATACGTGAAATGTAGACTTTATCTTTATAGTGATTTAAAGGAATTTATTTTTCTTTAAAAACAACAAAACGTCATACTTAGCTGCTCTGTGCAATAAAACTGCACAGAGTGGCCCTGATCCTCCTCTTCTCGGGTCCCCCGCTGGTGCTACTGGCTCCTCCTCTCTTGTTGGAAGCCAACTCCCATAGGGGCACTCGTGCAGGCTCGCTCCTGAGTTCCGCTGCCCTGTACATCAACAGACAGTGGAACTCAACCCCCCCCCCCCCCAAGTTCAGCTGCCCCGTCCATCAACAGACAGCAAAGCTCACCCCCACCACCCCCGCTCCCTCGTCCCTGGAGTTGATTGACGGGAGGAGTGAATGGCTTCCGCTGCTATCGATCTGCCCGGTGAGGTGGGACAAAGCCAGGAGAGCCGCAGCACTTGTGCATGGCGCTGGGTATCGATGGGGCTCAGGTAAGTATAAGGGGGGGGTGAGGGGGCCAGTTTGTGACACAGGTTTTTATACCTTCATGCATTAAGCTTTAAAACCACTAATATTCCCCAACAAGACGCTCCATGCCAAAGATACAGCAAGGCTACGTTCACACTAGCGTTGTGTGCAGGCGGCAGAAAGGCATTTGGGAAGCGTTTTTTACAGCTTCCCAAACGCCTCGGACAATTCTGCACATTGCAGCACATGGTGCTGTTCTAATGGGAGCGTTAGCGTCGCGTCAAAACGGACGCCTCTGGTCGAGTCAGGAGGCGTTGAAGCCTCCTATTCTAGTCTATGGTGCCCGGCCGGCGTTTGCGGTGCTGTTGCGGGGCGGTAACACCATTCAAACGTCATTATAGGCGTTTGTGGGGCATTTTTGATGCTCGGCCAACGCCTAGCAACCGCCGCTGAACTGTGCATGCGGAGCGTTTGCCGAGCGTTAAAAAAAAACGCTCCGCAAACGCCGGACCAACGATTGCCAAACGCTATAGGGGCATTTGGCAAGAGTTGGTAAAACAGTCAAGTGTGAACGAGCCCTAAGAAACATTCTCTCATCAAGGCTGCTGGCACTCAATCCCTGCTGTCGCTGACAGCCAGGGTCCCCACAGACAGTGGAGAACTACCAATCAGAGTGAACTCTGATCTTGTGACCACTGTCAGCTCAGACACTGATCACATGCAGGCTGGAGGCTTCACTGATCAAAAAACAAACAAAAACACCTTCAAGCTACAGATAAACACACCACTTTCAGGCTCCAGTTACCATCTGCTGTGCCATCTGTTTAATAGTGGAATTGTTGGATACAATTACATTATTAATAAGGGATTAAAAACGGAAATCACTGTCATTTTTTGTGTCATTTGTTCATTATTGTGCATTTGTAGAATAGAAACAGAAAATGTTTTTTTTTTTTAATGAAACAATGTTTCAAAAAAAAGTCTCTATGTAACCAAAGTTTAGTTTTAAAGCGGTATTTAACCCTCAGTGTAACATTGCTCTTCATGCTAAGCTCCCAGCAAATAGTTCATATAATGTGGTTTTCCTTTATTGTACCTTCTCATCAAAGCATACCCAGACTTGTGGCATGATTCTTAATGCATCTCCTATGAAGTGCATGGCCGGCCCCAGCACGGCCCCAGGGGGCGCATGGCCGCCCCCAGCACGGCCCCAGGGGGCGCATGGCCGCCCCCAGCACGGCCCCAGGGGGGCGCATGGCCGCCCCCAGCACGGCCCCAGGGGGGCGCATGGCCGCCCCCAGCACGGCCCCAGGGGGGCGCATGGCCGCCCCCAGCACGGCCACAGGGGGGGCGCATGGCCGCCCCCAGCACGGCCACAGGGGGGCGCATGGCCGCGCCCCACACGGCCACAGGGGGGCGCATGGCCGCCCCCAGCACGGCCCCAGGGGGCGCATGGCCGCTCCCCAGGGGGCCCATGGTCGGCCCCACCACGGCCCCAGGGGGACGCAATCCACCACGGCCCCAGGGGGACGCAATCCACCACGGCCCCAGGGGGACGCAATCCACCACGGCCCCAGGGGGACGCAATCCACCACGGCCCCAGGGGGACGCAATCCACCACGGCCCCAGGGGGACGCAATCCACCACGGCCCCAGGGGAGGCAAGGGCCCAGCATGGCCCCAGGGGAGGCAAGGGCTCCCCCAGCATGGCCCCCAAGTGCCATGTAAAGATGAAGTCCTGTCTAGGAGTATGTACATGTTAGGGTGGCTATGCAGGGCCTCCAGGGAAACCTTGTAAGGATGTTTTTTTTTCCCCCCATTCAACCAGTGGTCTAAACAAAGAAAAAAAACCCCTCACATTTTCCTGCATCCATAACAGTGATGTGGATCCAGGAATATCCCTTCTATGCTATTGTATTCTGACAGTAGGGACCCCCCCCCCCCCCGGCTGACTGAATGCTGGATTTCCAGCAGGACCAGCTTCCGTTGAACACAGGGCTATACGCGGATCGAAATTCAGCCAGTTCCTGCTGAACCGGACGAATTTGGATGTGTGTACCCAGCTTCAGGCAACAGAGCCCTGTGGGTGGAAATTGAACACAACACACTTTCAAAGGCTCATTATGCTTCAAAGACACACAAAGCAGAAAGGAAACAATCATGATGTAAGGTATGCCGAACATTTTTTTTTTTTTTTAAGTGGATGGTTTAATAAGACTTTAAGCTGTGAGAATAAAAGAGATCGAACCTTTTAGATCGTTTATTTAGTACACTTGATGTTTTTTTTTGCTGCTCATGAATCTGGATAGTTTCACTTTAACTAGGACAAAACCTAGAAACGGGGATTTCCGAGGATGACCTACTTCTACTGCGGGGAAGATAGAACGCCAGTGAGATTTCACATCTATATTTAAGATCGAATTGTTCAAGGGCTGCCATGTGTGGCAAGGCACAAGGGAAGAACGAACCATTCCAACACACCATCACAACGGAGATCCACTTAATGCTGCGCTCTACAATCACACTGGTAATGGGCCGCTCGGTTTATTAAAAAAACAAAAAAAAACTCTGCAAAAAAACCACATGCTTGAAACTGAAAATAAAAGCAGCTGGATTAGGATTCATAAAAAAACTGAAATCTTACACAAGAAAGGCAATTTCAAGGAAATCCGTCATGAGAAAAATGACCATGCCACTGCCAACCTCCTTTTCTGAAAATGCCATCTGCCTGGCTATCACCCTGATTATTTTTGCCTTGGTACTGGGTTACTGATCCAGGAAAAAGAACAAAACAAAAAAAACACAACGAAAAAAAAAAAACACAACGAAAAAAAAACAACGGAAAAAAAAAAAAAACAACGAAAAAAAAAAAACGGAAAAAAAAAAACGAAAAAAAAAAAACAACGAAAAAAAAAACAACGAAAAAAAAAAAACAACGAAAAAAAAAACAACGAACGAAAAAAAAAAACAACGAAAAAAAACAACGAAAAAAAAACAACGAAAAAAAAAAAAACAACGAAAAAAAACAACGAAAAAAAACAACGAAAAAAAAAACAAAAAAACGAAAAAAACTCCTGACCTCACTGTGACTTTTCTGAAATGAAAGAATATAAACCCAACATTTCCATTGAAGAAGTACCCTGTACTCTTTGTATTGCTTCCTTTGTGTGAAATCCCTGGTGCTCCTGCCAGTCCCTCAGTTTACCTATTTAAAAAAAAAAAAAAAAGCTGACCACACTAGGCATGAGAACACAGTGTGGTCAGTTCTGTAGATGTGCTGATAACTCAATGGTCAGACTTCTGACGTGCACGCCCCCCCCCCCCCCCATTTCCAGCAACATCAACATTCATACACTGGAAGACCAGTAACTGTTGTTTCTCCTCCTCCACCTCTTTATGCAGCTAGGAACAGAGGGAATGTGATCACTTACAAAAAAGGGGGAAAAAAAAAGTGTTTAGAATGTTTTTTATATCTACACACAAATGTTTTGCTTTTCATTTCTATTTTACAATGAATAGATTGTTTTAGAAGGTGAGTATTGGCAGTACTAAAGCCAGGGGTTCAGCATCGCAGCCAATCACATAGCACCTTCAGAAGGTGGTCAGTAATAGTCCCATATATTTCTCTCAGTACAGGTTAAAGGTAAATGGCAGACATCTTTTTATTGCTTTTGGATAAAGATTTGTGGTCACCTGGGCAGTCAGGACGGATCTTTCTGACCCTAGGGTGGTGCTGCTGCGGATCCGCAAGAAAATCCGTGCAGCCGCACCACCCGCACAGAGGAATGCGGACTTGCGGGTGGGTGTCAGTTCTAATGGCACGCCGCCCGCACTGGAAAACGCAACCGTATTGGGAACCTCGGCTGCGTTTTCCGAAGAAGTGCAGGGACTTCTTTCCTGCGTGTCATGGGAGTCCATTCAAATGAATGGGCTCTGGTGCCCGTGCAAAACGCAACCCGCACAGGTGTGAACCGGGGGTAAT